TTTGTTTTTTCTTCCAGTCAGTGCTTGGTGACATCAGACTGTGAGGGGCAAGGGGTCCCATCGCTTCCGTCAGATTTGCTGAAAGATTGCTTCCGTCTATCATTTCATTTATTCCAGACTTCAAGTTTTGCATACGATGAAATTCGTCCGAAAACGACTGCCAAGAAAAGGAGGACGGAGTCCGTCGACGACCCGGACATTGCTGAATTGGTGAACCTTGAGACGAAGTTGGAACGAATAAAGAACCAAATTGGGAATGACCAGAGCATGTCACGCTCGCTCTCCACCGTCAGGTTTGTTCTTAATCCTTTGTTTTTGATCCTTAAGGCATTTGCCGTTCGTTGTAGATACCTATATTCCCTGTACTCTGTAAACCGATTGTAGTAACCAGGTTGACTCTGAAAGCCAAAATTCTTTCATTGGCCATTGCCACAGTCACACGGAGTGCAGTGATTTCAGTGAGGCCTCATTAATGTTTATGTACATTTTTTGCCGTATGTTTTACTGAAAAGTTTTGTTTCAGGGAAGCGCGACTACTTAGTGAAAGATTAGCAGATTTGCGAAAGCTTGAGGACGAAAATCGTGATGGTGCTATGGAACTAATGCTGCAGTTGGTCGAATGTACTGATCGTGAATCATTTGATGAATTTGAGGCGCAATTCCTTGCGGTCAGTCTGTCATTTTTATCAAAATTTATTAGATTAGTAACAAGAATTTTAAAAAAAAATGCCGATTTTGAAACAAGCATTTTTTCTTATTTACTAATTTAATAAGACATTATTGTTAGTTTCGAGCGGGAAAAGGCCGGTGTAGTTGTTTAATAAAATGCATTTTTATGGAATAGTGAAACTGCCGTATCTCATGCTACCATTTGCTTAATTTAATATCTTTTTCCTTTTCACATTTGCAGGCACCAATTGTTTTTTTTTCTTTTTTTTTTTTTCAAATAGTTATATTACAGTTTTCACGCATGATTATGAATTGTATTGAATTTTAAAGGATTATAATCCGTCCGATGATTCTGAGATTCTCGAAGAAAGGCGGCAAAAACTGCTTGCTTCATTTGCAAATTCTCATCCAATGGATTACGATGCAGCTTTTCTGGGCGATGGTTTTAACCCGAGTCAGTCAAAAGTGACTTCTCCAACACTCTCTGAGGTTTATACTTTTACCATTTACTGTACTGCAGCAGAGAATTTTGTGGCTTCTCTTAGCATCTCTGAATTCCTTTTTTATTGTTTTAAGGAAATTATTTGCAAACAGCCCAAACGTGCACATTCGAGAACAAAGCGGCAGCGAAAAAGTGAAGCATCAAAAGGCATAGCTCGACAGCATACTGTTATTCCTTCCGAGAAAAAGCAGCCAACACCAAAGCGGGATCTGGAGGATTTGCGACCAGTTCTCACAGCTGCTGAGTTGAGCGCGAAGTTTATGAATGAATTCCATGGTGGAGCTGCAAAATATAGGTGAGTTTCAAGTAGTTCTGATGTAAATTCGATGATTTCAGATTTATCGACGGCGGGTTTGTGGTGGTAGGGAGTGCTGTATAGTTACAGTCTCTGCACATTGAAGCCTAGCATTCCTTTTATCTCCTTTTTAACGTAAAAATAATTCAGATGCGAGCAACGAGAATCTGCAGCGAATCCTGCGCCGAAATGCACCGGTCAAACAACTGTAACAAATTATGCCGATGAGGGAACAACAGCAGGGACCGATATACCAGTGCAGGGCACAGTTTCTTCATCATGCAGTAACCGGAAAGAACGAAGTAAATCAGTAAGTTCAGAAGATGAGATTGTGGTGGTGGATGATGACGATGATGATGCAGAAGCAGCTGCACAGTGCGATTCTGGAAATCCAGAAGGGGGCAGCGATGTGCAAATGGTCGAGATCGAGGAAAGCGCCGTCGTTTCGGATTTGTCGGAGGTCGTGTCCAGCATTCTTGATGACGACTTGGTGGCATATCTTCGAAAACGTGGGCGAAATATACGAGAGCGGCTTGCGACGGTACTGCTTCCTACACGAGACAGTGAATCGTTGCTGAGTATGACGATCGGAAATTTTGTGGACTGTACCACTAAAACATTCGATCCAAAGGTGAAAAGTACAAGTTCAAAATGAAGAATTGCACCACGCAATCAGCTCTACTCATATTATGATCATCTCCGTTCTTGATTGATTGATAAACTTGGGCATACGCATGTAAACTTACCTCGATCAGTTCGCATCTTCGCCCTCATCAGCGCATGTCTGGCGAGGCGAATATTTCTTTCTTTTTTTTTTTTTGTTTCCTTTTTTCCCAGTCCTGCATTTAATTATTTTCGTTGCTTACAGTGTAGTATCGATGCATGCGATTTGATGATGCTTCACAAATTCAATTTCCATGACGCCATAAATAAATTGACTGAA